TCTCTCTCTCTGTCTGTGTCTGTGTGTGTGTGTGTCTGTATGTGATCTGTGTGTGTGTGTATGGGTGTGTGTGTGCGCGTTCTAAAAAGACAGGGGGGGATGACCCCTTTTCTTCTTTCAAGCAGACGAGCACCCTTCCCGCCTCAAGCACCGTCACTCCGAAATATCCCGTAACAGAAGGTGGTGATTTCCGCGTCCCGCCAAAACCGGGTGCGATCGCTTCAAGTCACACCACATATCATTGATTGCTTCCCGCCAAATCGGAGACGACAGCTTGCCGTTAATCGAAGATGACACTGAATTAGAAAACACGATAGGGTGCCACGTGGCTGACACGTGCGCAGTCGACAAGCAGACCGTGGACAGGTCAGCTCCGAGCCCGTCCGCCTTGCACCCGATCGACTGTCAGCATGTCTTGGCGCTCGCCGTTGATTGATTCTGATTGGGTTGACTGCCCGACATCCCCTTCGCCGCTCACCTGAACCCACTTCTGAGCGGCACGAACCAGCCGACTCCCCTTCCTGGGCTGCCACGTGGAGTCGCTAGTTGCGTATTGCTAGTGCGCATAGAGGGAACGTCGTCATCAACCGGCCGTCATGCGCGTGTCCGATTCCACTATAGCCAAAAGGCGGGTTCCCGCGCATTGGCGCCAAAGGGCGTGAAAGTGCGGCGGGAAGCTGCCTTTTCCCGCGCTCAGCCGACGAAGGAAACCCGCCCAAACCGGCTTTCAACTTCCCGCGAACATAACGCATCCGCCGGACCCTATAATCACCGCCCGAATGGAGACACCTGTCGCGCCAGCCGCAGCGGTAATGGCCACGGCGACGTGGTTTCAGTTTTTTCGGTTTTGAAAGGGCGGGGGTGTAACCATAATCCTACCGTGTTCAGTTGTGTGGTTCGAACCCATGATCTTTCAATCCTTTCACGAACACAGTCACATGTGTGCAGCCCGCGCTGGGGCCATCACTCCAGTTCCGCTGGGGTCAAACGATAACTTTTTCTAACTAAACTCTGGACGTCATCGCCGGCAGATTCATGCAGTTCAACTCTGGACGTCATCGCCGGCAGATTCATGCACTCCAGTTTTGGCCGCAAATATATATTTATGAAAGTGCCCGTTTTTTTTTGAGTCTGCCATCAGTCGCACGGGATGGGCGCGAGGTCCCAGTTCCAAATTCACCCGACCGCGCCGACCCACCCGCCGCCAAGACGACTGCGAGCCATTCCACTCTACAGGGCGGTGGCGTTCGCGCGGTGGGGTGGACTTCGTTCACGTATGTGATGCATATAGATGACCGTATTCAGTCAAAAAACATTCGTGCGAGTCTTGCCCGTTGCACACTTCAAATTCTGCATCGAGTGTACCTGGTCACGCTCTTCTGCGCGGTACGTCCTTACGTGAGACCGGGAGTTCCGCAAAATTGTGTGTGGGACTGAAGGGAAGTCCGTTCCTCGGAATGGATACGGTAGTCAAAAATCTATAAGAGCTCCCCGTTTTCTTTGCGTTTTTATTTACTGTTTCTTTCTTTTCCCCGCGAAACCAAAGAGGGGGAAAAAAAAAATGTCCTTCGGGACATCCGTTAAAATTGGAACGATACAGAGAAGATTAGCATGGCCCCTGCGCAAGGACGACACGCATAAATCGAGAAATGGTCCAAATTAAAAAAAAAAAAAAAAAAAAAAGAGGGGAAAAGAGGCCCCCTGGGTGTCCATTTAAAAAAAAAAAAAAAAAAAAAAAAAAAAAGTTGACATCAACACTAGGGAATTCATTATAACGTCAGCATTAAAAGAGACAAGAGTTCCCTTCATCTCACNNAAAAAAAAAAAAAAAAAAAAAAGAGGGGAAAAGCAGCTCCCTTGACTGTCCATTCTCAAATATTATACAACTACTGGGCCCGGCTCCACTGCTCACCACATGCACAAAAGGCAAGCGGACGATTCAGTCTCATTTAGCTCATTTGGTGTGCACTGGAGCGAAAAATGGTTCCCCGAGGGCGGAGGGGCCTCCCAAGCACTCAGCCCACCCCGCCAGCACTCCATCTACCCAGCCACCCAATCCCGAGCGTTCGCACAGCCAACCAACCTACTTGGAGGTCTGTGCTTGTCGTCAGCCCTGCAGGAGGGGTCCAGAGCCAATTCCAAACTACTGGGGCGAGGTCCCACCAGCAAAGAGGATTGGATTGAACACCTCAATTTGGAATTGTTTGGGAAAATCGAAATGCCCCTCAAGTTTCGATTAATTTGCAGCATGCCCCTCTGACGGCTGACTTACCCTGTCGAGCCCCTGGGGCCTCTGAAGTTTTCTGCAGCCCCCTGTCAGCTTGGGGCGTAACTTTCCACTACGCCTTTACTGGACCGCTGGCGGCATTTCGTCGGTCCATCCTCAAAATGCCCTCACGAGGGGCATGCATCTTTCCGTGACGCCCTTGCAGCGGTGGTGGCAGGAATTCGAATTCGAAGCGGTCTGTTTTTTACCCTCCACCACGAAAAATGGTGCAACAGTCAGTCTCACCATGTTCGCTGGTTGCAGTTGGCATTCTATTTCACCGCCTTCGAGTTTGCCGCGGCAGGAATCACTGCGTTGGAGTTCATTGGCCTACTGTGCGAAGGCAAGCGCGCATGTGTGCGTGTCTGTTTCTTATTTTACGAGTCAAACCTCCTCGACCACGCCGCGGCATGTTGCGTCAAAATGTCATGCAGGAGAAACGACCCCAGCTAAGCGATTTCTGGATTAACACAAAGAATCAACATGGACACCCATAATTGAGGTAGTTGGGGATTGGTTCAAGTGAGAGCATGCGCACAGTTTGCAGCCTGGAGGGCATGGGGGAGGCGGGCGCCGGGCGGGCAGACAAACAGCACTAGGCAGAAGGATGAGGCGGCAACAACGAGTCAAGAAGTAGCACTAGGGCGGCGAAGCAACAGCACAGAACGTAGGCTGGAAGGGCATGGGGGAGGCGGGGGGGCAGACAAGCAACACTCAGCAAGAAAAAAAAAAAAACAGGAAGTTGAGAAACAGCACGACAATAATACAACAAGGCAGACAAAAGAACAAGCAGCAAAAAACAAAACAAAACATGATAGATTGTTTCGTCGGAGTTGCACCAACTCATCAGGAGGCTGAACCCTCGACAATCTGCGGAATCCCCGTATTTGATGGTTTGGGTCATGAACCCTTCGACCCTTGTTGAAGGCAGACTGTCCCCAAGAGGAACATAGCAGGGGGCAGCAACCCTGTGAAGCACCAGGCAAAGCAATAGAGGCAACACGGCTGCACAATGCCAAAAACGACTACAAGGAACAACATGGCATGCAGGACATGCAGCACGGCAACCGTGTAGTGACGCACAAGACAACACAAGCAAGGCAACAACACTGCAGGGGACGATAGGGCGAGCGGACCAGCAGTTCGGCAACTATGGAGTGGAACACATGGCACCAGCAACAAGGCAACCAACCTACAGGGCACACAAGCGGCAAACACAGAAGGCACGGCCAGTGGATGAGCAGCACAACAGCAAAGCAGCGAAGCGCAAGGCAACACCAACAATACGCCCACACCATGCAGCGAACACAACAATTCGTACAGAGACACATGCGAAGCAAGCGGGACAGGCAGCAGGGCAGCGGCGGAGCGCAGGCCAGGACCGTGACGTCCACACATCCAACACGGAGCAAAGCAGCACGTGACCTACTCACATCACGATTGAACCCCGCAGACTGTTGGTTCCAACCACCCACTAAGCCAAGGAGTCACTCCGACAAACATCTGTCATCACCTACAAGCAACACAGACATCCCGAACGGAGCGGCCCCCATAAGAGTGCTTTAGGCACTCCAAAAAAGGAACCACCGACGTTTTCGGGTGCTCAGTTGGGCACATAAAAAAAATACTTAGAAAACGTCAGGGGGATAAAGACTGACAGACATAAAACTGATTGTGTGTGTGTGTGTGTGTGTGTGTGTGGAGAGAGAGAGAGAGAGAGAGAGAGAGAGAGAGAGAGAGAGAGAGAGAGAGAGAGAGAGAGAGAGAGAGAGAGAGAGAGAGAGAGAGAGAGAGAGAGAGAGAGAGAGAGAGAGAGAGAGAGAGAGAGAGAGTTTCATCGATAGAATGAGCAACGCACCGGCCAACAGGTAAGTCTCCAACCCCATGATGGGATGAGCAAAATCAAATGAATCTTCCGCTATAGCATGTTTTTTTTTTTTTTTTTTTTTTTTTTTTTTTTAGAGAGAGAGAGAGAGAGAGAGAGAAAGAGTTTTCCATCGATAGGATGAGCAACGCACAGGCCAACAGGTAAGTCTCCAACTCCACGACTGCCGTTACGCTACTTCCATCGATAATATGAGCAAAATCGAATGAATCGACCGCTAGAACATGAAAATATATTATGCCACACTTGTGTGTGTGTGTGTGTGTGTGTGTGTGTGTGTGTGTGTGTGTGTGTGTGTGTTGTCATATTCGCTATACACTAAAAAGGCCATGAATGTGTGTGTGTGTGTGTGTGTGTGTGAGAAAAAGAGAGAAAGAGAGAGGGGGGGGGGGGGAGCGGGGGAAAGATAGATAGATAGAGAGAGAGATATTTTTCCATTGATAAGATGAGCAATGCACTGCCCAATAGGTAAGTCTCTGAGTCCAACCCCACAGCTGGCCTCGCACTATTGGATATTTTCGATATGCCCCGATAGCACCTATCCGGGGGCCAGGGGAAAGACTTTGAGTGTCAATAACGGCGACAGGGGCATATGAAACATGTTTCAGGCCCAAACGACACCAAGGGTTTTCTGAAACATCATTCATTGTCAGAGGGGCATGACAGGGTAAGTTGGCCGTCAGACGGGCATGCCGCAAATTAATCGAAACTTCAGGGGCATTTCGAAAGTTTTCCCAAAAAAAAAACCTTCGGATAAAATAAAAATAATAATATCTATGAATGTAGTTGGCATGCCTTGGGGCCTAGTTGCAGTACTCGCCATCTGCCAATATTTTGACTACACGTGGACACCATTTTGTCCAGATGTGTTCAAAATCTTGGCAGATAGCGAATGGTGAAACTAGTGGACGCTGCCTGACGGACGAGGTCGTGCCATCCAAGCCATCAACCCGGGGCCATGTCCCACTTCTTGAGCGCATCAACCCGGGGCCATGTCCCACTTCTTGAGGTTTTGTTCTGTTTTCGAGTGTACATGGATCCTTGCCATCCGATCGAAAAATCTTACGGCCCCCACTAGTGGGTCATAGCCCGCGGTCGCCCGCGGTCGCCACATTCCGGACACCTTCAAAAGTCCAGAGTTTTCGGGTCCGCACCACTCACCTTCTGATTTGTTTTTATTTTTATTTTTTAATAACAAGGCTCCATTCTATTTGTGGGGAGCAACACATGTTGGGAACCATGTCCAGCGTCCTTCGAAATATCCGTTAAAATTTAAGTGATACATAGAAGATTAACATGGCCTATGCGCAAGGATGAAACGCATAAATCGAGACATGCTAATATGTGGAAATGTACACCCGATACTTTTGTCTTTCTTACATTTGGTGAGTGGTGCGGCGAGGCCCTTCAGGCAATGATCGGTTGAACGCCTTTGTGGCCAATCGCCACACCGCTCCCAAAATGTGCAAAATGAGAATGGACTTCCTCCTAGAACATGACCAAATGCACCCGCCAACATTTTGACGCACACACATACAGTTTGCGGAGAAAATTAGCACGCAAGGCGCTATAAAGTGTTGGTCCACCAGTTTCATACTTCACCAGCCAAAGTAACAGATCACCATTGTGG